CAAATGTAGCCAGGAGAGTAAGACACTTCCACCTGGAGCCGTCCTGTGACCTCCTGTGCTGTGTCGTACAGGCTTGTCTCAGATTATCCACATAATTGACTGAGCTCTCTCCTTCCTTTGCCCGTGGACACAGCTTTCGTGTCTCTGGGGGCAGCAGCTGCTTGTCTGAAATCCCCATCCCCAGCTTCCATCCTCCACTGCGTCCTCTCAGAAACCTGTCATGGTTTTTCTGGATGGATGCCCACAGAATTTTAATCCAGTCGCAAGGGGGGCGGGGGAGTACTGCGCATAACAAAAAAGCAAAACCAGGTTATGGCTTGGCTCTTTCTTTATTGACGTTGGTTACCTCAAGGGCTTGGAACATGGAGGGACCTTGGTCAACGGCACCAACCCTGAGCCCCGCCTGGGGCCCAGTGAGGCCCCTTGGTGAAGGGTGTGTCCTGGGTCCTGCCCAGGTCCTGATACAGAGACAAACAGACTCTGGGTAAATGGCATTTGTAGCTCCAGTAAGTGGATAAAAACAAAGAAAGAAAGATGTTCCCTGCCCTCAGGGAGCCTAGCTGAGTCCCTTGACTTTACCCAAGTTGAAAAGGTGCAGTCCTCCAACTCTGACTGGTGGGAAGACCCGCTGGGGAGGCGTCCAAAAAGCCCATTCCGACGCTCAGACATTCATTCAGTAGGTTTGCACCCAGGAAACCTCACTTTATTCCTTCCAAGCCTTGTGATGTAGGAGAGGGAAATGCTCCTGGCTGGTAACCAATAGCCTTATTAGAAATAAGACTCCACCTTTCCATTGTGCCTCCTGTTGTTGGGATAAAATTCATGAAAACAATGCCTAATTATCAGGATTTCTGGCATTAACTAGTTGTGTAATCCTAGTTGTCACTGCTCTGCATCTATGATTAGACCATGATCACTGGAGATGATGAAAACTCGAAGCAGGGGTAGGTTTGGAACTCAATCACGGATGGAGTCACGTGGGGGCAGCTGAAGGAGATCATGAATAGTTTTGAAGTCAGAAGTGAGTTCAAATTCCACACTTGCCAACTGTATGACTTGGGGAGTTATTGACCATCTCTGAGACTCTGTTTGTCTCTAAGGCTGGGATGTTACTACCTTCCGGACTGAGGGGTTAAGAAAATTAAATGAGGTTATGCACCTGGAAGTGGCTGCCCACTAACCAGTCCCCAGTTATAACCCAACTAGAGGCCTGGTGCATGAGTTCGTGCATGGGTGGGGTCCCTTGGGGTGGCCTGCGGAGATCAGGCCCCAGCTTATACCCCCAGCCTCACAGCCCCACAGCCCCACCTGGCACCCTCCCTTGGCCTGGCACCGCCCCCTCATCTGCTCCACCATCCCACTGTGGTCCCACTCTCATTGGGGCCCATGGGAGGAGGGGGGGTGGCCAACACCCGCCATGTTCCACGCTGCTCCCTGGTGGTCAGCACACGTCATAGTGAGCGGTTGAACTCCCAGTCGAACAATTTGCATATTAGGCTTTTATTATATAGGATATGTTACTGCTATTCCCCTGTAAGAGTGGAGGGTCAAGGATCTCCCAGGCCCAACTTCCAATAGGTTTTTGTCATTGGTCACAGTTTGGTGTGGCCTGGGATGTGTATGTGGCCCTGGACCTCCTGTGGCCACCACTGCCCACCTGACCGTCCTTTCTAGGGGCAGTAGCTAAATGCCCTGGCCGGTTCCCCTCAGCTACCTAAAAGAAGAAG